TTTTTTATAAAGACGGGGTTTTACCAGGTTGGTCAGGCTGGTCTTGAACTCCCAACCTCAGGTGATCCGCCCGCCTTGGCCTCCAAAGTGCTTGGATTACAGTCATGAGCCACCCTGCCCAGCCGGAAGCTCCACTCTTAAACTAAAGGCTTAAACAAATTCTGAGGAACATGTCTGGACAGAGATCCTCTGCTCCCACGTCTTCTTGTGACCCACACTGTCCCCACAGCCTTGGAGTCGTGGGAGGGGACCACACCCCTTTGTCTCCCCCATTCTTCTTTCCTCTCCAGGGGCTGCCTTGCACCTCCATGACATTGGCATTGTGACTATGGACTGGCTGGTGAGGAATGTCACCTACAGACCCCACTGCCACATCTGTTTCACCACGAAGGGGATCGTGCAGTTTAGATTTGCTCACCTAACTCCGCATACATCGGAAGAATGTCGCAAGTGGATTCTGCTGGAGGATTACCGGAGGCGGGTGCAAAACGTCACTGAGTTTGACGACAGGTGAGTCATAGTTCAGAAAACACGTGTCCCAGGCCGGTCATGGGTGGCAGTGGGGAGGTGTCTCCCTTGGTACAAACCTATAGATAAAAATCTGTCTTTAAAAAAGCATGAGGCAAAGCTGAGCACAGTGGCTCTCACCTGTAATCCCAGCACTTTGGGAGGCCGAAGTGAGCGGATCACTTGAGCTCAGGAGTTGCCAGTCTGGGCAACATGGTGAAATCCTGTGTCTACCAAAAATACAAAAAATTAGCCAGGCATGCTGCTGCCCACCAGCAGTCTCAGTTACTCAGAGGAACTGAGTAGGGTGGGACGCTGATGAAGGAGGATCACTTGAACCCAGGAGGTTGAGACTGCAGTGAACTGAGATCGAGCCACTGCACTCCAGTCTGAGTGACAAGATAAAACCCTATCTCACTGGGCACAGTGGCTCACGCCTATAATCCCAGCACTTTGGGAGACTGAGGTGGGTGGATCATGAGGTCAGGGGTTCGAGACAAGCTTGACCAACATGGTGAAACCCCATCTCTACTTAAAAATACAAAAATTAAGGGGCCGGGCGTGGTGGCTCATGCCTGTAATCCCAGCACTTTGGGAGGCTGAGGTGGGTGGATCATGAGGTCAAGAGATCGAGACCATCCTGGTCAACATGGTGAAACCCCGTCTCTACTAAAAATACAAAAATTAGCTGGGCATGGTGGCGC